CTGGTTGAGAAACGGTAAAAGAAGGGAACTAAGATTAGAATCAAGAATGATAAAGTAACCGTAGAAACGAAATAAAATGGATCACAACAATTATATTAGAGCTGCGGTATGGCTAGACAAGCAGAAATGCAGACTTTGCATTACATACCATACTGTCGACCTCGCTCTCTACCGGTCCCTGATGCGCTACCATCGTGTTGTTGAGGACATAGGTACCATTTCCCGGCAGATAAATGTCAATCGAATTCGTCAACCAATGTGTGGTTAGCGCACCGGTATATAGACACACGATGGTGGTGATGAAAAGCGTTGCACTGAGAAGTTTTGTCCAATTCCGGCTCATACTCTGCACGCCGGCCGTTATCATGTGCTCTGAGTAGAACAAATAGAAAAGAAACGACAATATTTGCTGACATAGAGCCATTCCCACCAGACCAAGAGTCAATATCATCAATGCATTCATTTGCTCGGTCCAGATGAACACACCAGCAACCAAAACGTTAGCCACCATGACGATGAGAAGAATGAGTAAACCCATAAGCCGATGCTTTCGCTTCGTCGATAATGTCCTGCGTTGCCTGTTCTTCTTACCCGCCTTCTTCGCAACCCTATCGTCAGCTGCGGATACCATTCGAGTCTGTGACGCGATATCCGCTGAGGAAAACTCGTTATACTTAACTTTCGACAAGTCTATCTTGTCTCCTTTTGCTATCTTTGTACCGTTCTCGATTTTTGTCTTGGCAGAAGTTATCGGAACCACATAGTCTCTCGATCCAAAGGTAGATGAAGATTGCCAGGAATTCACCTCGGACGACTGCGTATCCACGCTTTCGCTCCTATCAAACCGACTATCAATTTTAGGATGGGCATCGTCCGCCATTTTTTTCTTTGCAGGATACCCCGCCGATGTTGAATTCGCTGCTGTATCTGTAACAACCTCAATTGACTCCTTATTCTCCGAACTCGACGATGATGGTCGATTGCCCCACGACAAATCCCATATCCGACAATATGAATAGGCCGAAAAGTATGGCAGGAACGTCGGCAAAAACAGGAAGAACTGGAAAAAGGAAAACAGCATCATAACGAAAACGTCTAGACTGTGTAAAAGTGCCAGGAAGAACGGAAAGAAGACCACCAGCAACAGCACCACAATCGTCATGACGTCTTTGTTGGCGAACGACACGACAACATTGGCAACAATGACTGAAAAAGTGACGGTATTCCAGATTAGGAGATATTCGTAGAATGATCGGACGAACTTGTGGAAAAAATGCAGTCCGCAGAAAATAATGTACATGCACAGGCTGATGCCTGCTACCGTCAAGGCAATCGTCCTGCTCCATTCAGCCCCTCCTATATGAAGCGTGTCAACAGAGAAGCATATCAGCGTGGCAAAGATACCCGGTGATAGTGCCGTCACGCCAAATAAGAGGGTTTGTATTAGCAGTTGACTGTATATCATGAGCTTGAACCCCAGTCTGTGCGGACCACGGAATAGGATACCGGGCGATGCGAACAACAAGAATATATAGCAGGCCATTGTTCCGTTGATCCACCGTCGACGCTGGGTTATAAATGATTTGATGTCGGTCTCGGCTTCGGTGTAAAACACGGCCATCGGAACCCATCTCGTGTACTTTCCTGTCATCAAGCAAACAGCATAACTCAATATGCGATCTTCTGCAAGCAGTAGGTTGCCCTTGATGAGCCCGTCCTCGGCTGAGATGTTGTTAATGTAGTTGATGTAGTAGTCCATCGGAGCTCCTCCACAGTCACTCATGCGCCAAAGACCGGCGGGTCCAGGAATGACAGGAAGCATGCCCATGAGCGAGAATGCTCCCAAGAAACTAGATATTGACGCCTCGTAATCGTAAGACTGCACGGCACGATACCACATTTGCATCAAGCCTTTGTGAAGTAAAACAGAGAGACAGCAGGTACATGTTTAGCTAAATGAATCATACGGTGAGATCTTAGCTCGTTGAAGTAGATAGAGAGACATCAGGGTGGAGACATGGGTGTAGATATAGTCTTATATGTTCTGTTAGAAAGCTATGGTGAAGGGTATAATGCTAGGTAGGGAATATTTAATTATAGCCAAAGATACATAAATAGAATTAACCCACTTTTCAAAAAAAAATAGTTTGTCAATGTCATTGAATTTCACTATAACTATTGGAGATATATATTGTGCTCACCTTCAGTTCGTAGACTTTGCATAGTCGAAGACATTACTCTTTGTCGCCCGGTAACTGCACTAACTTCAGGATGCGTCGAAAGGTACTGAATAAGGTAATATAGGCAACCGTTTGCATACAGAGTACCGCAGTCTGTAGCGAAAGCATAGTCTGTACAGGGATAAAAGGGATACGTCAGTAATTATATAGTATATGTGTAGATAAAATTTCGAATAAAAAGAACGTAGACACTTCTCTCATTATGACAACAAGACCACAGCTCTGAACACTCAATGTGCACGTGGAGTTCTAGTACATACATAATTATAGAGTATGCGATTGGGTGGAATTCAGGAGTTCGGGAAGCAATGAGATTTAGTCGATTTGGACATATTCTCAAAAATCAAGCTTATCGGACAAGTGTTTTTAACTGATGGAAGTCGACCTACCAACTTCATATTCACGGCAATAGGCCACGAAAAACCACTCGTGAGAATTTGTTTTTCTTCGATTCTGCCCCTTGATGAGAAAAGTGAGGCGGAGATGTTTCCCAGGTGCAATCTCTACCAATCCGTGACTACTATCAGCATCATCGTTGGCAGCCGCGTGAAGTACCGTTATATACTCTGTATCCTCACTCATGTACATTTTGTCGGCCCACTCATTCGTCTTGTACAACGACGAAATGTATTCCACCATGGTTGGGTCGGCCATGAGAATTCCGTCCATCACGGCCAGATACAGAAATTCCACACCCAGGTCGCCACATTCTACTTGTTGATCGTACAGACTCTCAAGAGTTCGCTCAAGTTCTGCTTTCCCCTCGTTAAAAAATGGAATAACGACACCGACTACTGTTTCGCTTTGACGCGTACGTGGTGGAAAGTATTTGCAATTCTTCAAGGGTAGAAGTGTATCATAGTCAGTGGCAACTGCATAGTTACGTGGCGATGGCCTCGGTCGGACAACCGGCGGTGACCTCCTGTAATCATCACTCGAGGAGTCATCTGAAATTGTAAGGGATTGGGGAGATGCGTATGACATCTCTATACTTGGACTCAGCATTGTACTGTATATTTTTTGTAAGCGAAGCGGACGCCTAAATAGCGCGGGGAGAAATCGATACTCTTTTAGAGTGATCACTTGCGTTGTGATTCTCCAGATGTGCATAGTACTTTTATTTAAAAAAACCGTTCATTCATCCAACCGCCAGTATGACGAATTTCTTCAGATTTGCTTACAATGACTTTCCCCGATGAATAAAAAGAATGGCAAGCACACCTTCAACAATTTTTTAGAATACATCTCTCGACCTGTTTGTCTGCTTCATGATTTCGATCTTTCAATAAAAACATGTTAATAGGGAGAAAATGACGGTACAAAGGAGAACTGTTTAAAAGTTTTTCTTTGTAGACCGACTTGCAGTATTTGAGCATCACGTCTACTCATTTTGTTATCTATTTTATTGTTAAAATCAAGTTCATAACTTCATATTTATGTACATTATATATACATATTTAGTATTACATACATATATAAATATCGACCGCAGGTCAGTTTTGTTTCTTTTCTTAGCTTTGTTTTTTTTTATCACAATAAAACAGAATAAAAACAATCACACGGGCAAGCCTATATAAAACAATAATTTATGTATTCGACGTTGAAAGTTGAAATGGCCAAGGGTGCCGGCGGTGGGCCGGTGGCCGGTGGGCGTCCAGTTGTCCATTCTCCACCTGCTGGCTGCTGTCAATCTGCCATGCGCCCGGGCTGTGGGTCCTGGTTGCCAGGTCCAGACTCCAGAGTCACATCTAGAGAGTCTCCAGACCTCCGGCTCCAAGGCCCAAGCTAAATACCAGGGTTCCATGTTCATCTATTTTTAGTGTATTTTATAAATATGTGTGGAGAATTGAGACACCTGTTTTCAGTGTTTTGTCTTCACAAAAATAACAAATCACAAAATATGTATACATAAATATACGCAATACAAAGTTGCAAACTGTACGAATTCCTCCAAAATTAGTTATTTTTATAAAAAAGACTTCAAGTTAGAAGGAAACTGCATATGCATAATTATTAGAACTTAAAATATAAAATATTCCCTGATTCCCTGGCAATCTCTACCGCATTGCTCCACTAATTATGGTACTCGGTGTAGTTAAAATAGACCAGTAAAACGTGAGTACAAAATTTCCGATCAGTTTTAAATTGTGACTTGTCAGTTATCGCAATTATACAAAACCAGTCTGAGACAATGCAGACGAAAATGACAACTGTGGTGGGTGGCAACGATTTGAAGTCAGATTTAAATAATAGCAAACTAGACGACAATCTTTATACAGCCTATAAAAGTCTGCCATTTGGCCCAAGCCCACGTACCAATTCTATATTTATGAAAAAACCAATACCAAAGTGGCAATGGCCAAACGAATGTTTCTGTTTTGATTTGTTTTGTTAAAAAACAGCATTTTTTTTAACATATTTGTTATCTATTATTTTTGATTATGGATAAATTACACAGATTCTCATTCACAGTCACACAGTATGTACAGTGTTACAGAATCTCGCAATTCACAGCCACACCTGGCCCTAAGATTCGGGCCCCTGCTACTAGAGAGTAAATAGTCCCTGGGTCGTAGATTCCGAGTCCTCATTCCTGCTTGTTGTGTGTTGGGCCCTTGGGGCTTGAGGTCTTGTGTTGAGGATCTCTCGTTTCTCTTGTTGGGACCTGGGGGCTGCGGTCCTGCGGGCCACGGACTGTCGGGGCTTAAATATCAAAATATGAGGCATTGAGTAGAGACTACTACCAGCCCACTGAGCCTAGCTTTTTGTACAAATATCAATATTAAAAAACCAAAATGGAAAATATAAATGCAAATTTTAGTAAATAAATCTTTGTCGAATGCAATCGGCAATCAGCTGAATCAGGCCATCTTACAATCGCTCACACAATTCTTAATTTGGCAATTCCCCCAAGCCCAGGGCCCAGAACTCAAGTCTCCAGACGAGCCAGAGTCCGGACTCACAACTGACAGCTCACAAGTCACAACTCAGAGTCACAAAGTCACAACTCACAAAATCGCAAAATATGTTATCATTTTATACCAAATACCTGATACAAGCTGGTTGGTCACTTGGACTCAATGAGGATGTTTTGGATAAATACTCATTTTTAAACATTTTTTGATACTCTATGGATAAATAGCAAGACTCTACTCGAGACTCTCGAAAGAATAGAATCTACTTTTAGTACAAAAAAAGTCGTATATATACTATGTATGATATTTATTGGCAGACTAGCTACTCTAACAGAGATAGTATTTATCTCTCACTTTGCTCTCAGAATCTCAGTACTACAGTACATACTATATAGTAGACTCTACCTAGTAGTAGTAGAGAGGCAGAGAGAGTACATAGGTTGAACTACTAGATTGTAGAGGAGCAAGTCTAAAAATTCTAAAAATGCAGTCTCAGTGACCAAGAGTTGATTTTTTTTATAGAATAAGTGGACAACAACAATGCTGTCCGGGCAAAACAACCTAAAGAACATTTAGGAGAGGCCATTTTTCAGACCAAACGGACTGGACAAGAACTATTTATACATTTACGGACTGACTCTTGTGGGCTAGTCCTGTCCGTAGTTGTATAGCCCTATAAAATATACCGTCCGATTTAAAAAAGAGAGTTTAGCTAGTAGTAGATTAGAGAGAGAGCGAGAGAGAGAGAGGGACAGAGGTCAGAGTGTCATGTGGCATTTCAACAAAATTATAACATTTTTAAATAATTTTTTCAATTGACCGATGGATATTGAATGAATCAAATATAGGATACGCGACTAAACTATAATCTCGGATTGTCGAACAGACAATCTTGTATACTCTGGGGACAACCTGAACAAGAAAGATTTTTAAGTTGGACAAATAGACAATTAGACATTATACGACAGGTCGAGATTTCGTTTGGTACATGTGGACAATCCGGAGTAATTGTCCACCTTTATAAAAGCGACCTACACTCTATTCTAGTCTACGCTGCGCTTTTATTTATTAGCTCTACTACTAGAGTCTACTGCTTTTTTTATATAACAAATCTGGATTTTAAATTTTGGCACCTATATATATATTTTAGGATAAGTTTGACACCTATAGAGATTTTTTGGGCTAGTTTTGTTACGTGATAAAATAGGGAATATTTTATTTTTTCAAGAAGTAAAAGAACAGGTTTTTGGATTGTTTTGATAGTCCTTGTGGTACACAATTGAAAACACATTTTCACTCGTTATGTGTGGTATTACTAAATACCCTATATACTGACCGGGTCGGTCCAATTTGGGATATAGGACGAAATTGAAATTTAAAGTCCCCCCCGCACTCATTTTGGACCACCGTAGAACCCTAAACCAGTGTAGCCACTAGCACTAGGCCAGTCCGAGCAGCCTTGGCAACAATCCTAATAGATGCTAGCGGCCTGGCTCCTTCCCAGTTCTTCACATCTTTAAACGACAGTCAACACTGCACACGAGGCAAAGGGTCAAAGTCCGCTTTTTTTTCTCAAGTTTTTGTATTTTCAGATTTTCTACTCTAAGCAATTACTGTATTTACGAATTACGTATTTTAAAAAATACTTAAATATTTACTGTACATCAAAAAAGATATTTTTTTATCAGCAAACATTGTATAAAATGCTTGAATTCAACCTGAAATAGCAATTGTCATTTGTCACAAATTGATCAGTTTGTGAGTAGTGACTTTGTGTGCGGGTTTTTAAAAATCGTTCTTCTACGACTTAAAATGCAATGATTGAACATAAATCGATTTTGTTTTTTTAAATAAAATAGGTTAAAATATATAGCACAGCTTTATTTTTCTTGTTAACATTAACCTGTGAGTTCTCGAAACTAAATAATATTTATATAAAAAACAAATATAACAATAAAGTTCATTTGATTCTTTTTGTTATAGAAAAATATATTTAGAAAAATTAGAATGTTCTAAAAGAAATGCTTTCTGTATTTAAAAAAAAACTATTATGGTTCATTGGTTTTATGACAAATATTTGCACAGTTTAAAAAAGATTAAAAAAATAATCACACTTGTAAGTGGGGAGTTCCATTACATAAGATGCTGGAAACCTGCATTTTTTTAAATACGGCCCTGTATGTTGTGGGCTGTGGCTGCTAAAATTTTATATTGTCTTTGCGAAAGATTATCTCATATACAGATCACAATATTTTGTGCCAATAAGCATAGTGACTTTCAATTATTAATTTGGCACTTAATTATATATACGCTTTTGTTCCTATTTCTGTCTTCCATTTCTGTTGTTGCTGAAATTGTCATTTCATTTCTTGCTGAGTAACATTGTAACTAGCGTGCAATGTCCATTTGGTGTCTCAGTAAATTATCGACTGCAACAATGCTGTTTAGTTTACTTCTGTTGCACATTTCATGCGTGTTTGCCTATTCAACAGCACGAAATGAACCACAATATGATATTAATGCCAGAGATGCTTCCACTATAGCAAGTGATCCAAAATTCGATATTTGTCAGAGTTGTCCGAATGGCTGCATGGCTATATCTGCCTATACAGCTGGGGTTCCGGGATGTCATGCATGGCTTAGAGAGTTCTGTATCGGGCAGGGATCTGAGTTTGCTTGGTGCGAAGACGGAAGGAGCGATACGATTGTTTTTGAATCGCAAGCATCAACTGCTCCACTATCATCAGAGAGTACAGCCCCTATTGATTCGCTAGCATTAAGCCAAGCATCGCCCACCAATAAAGTCGATGTTGAAATCTGTTCAGAGCTGCCTTCGAAGGTGGTGGGCATGTATATATTGCTGGCTGATGACAGTGATCCTATATATACATCAGCACATATTTGGCAGCCCCGGTTACATGAATATCAGCAACTAGGAGCCAATGTTCTATTCTTCACTTTTATAGAACCCATATCAATGGAGGTACCGCAGTCTTTCATCAATCTGGCTGTCACCCGAGGAGATGGTGCATTGGGCTCTGTGCCCTCTACCTCTAAAATAATATTCGCAATAGGTGGTCAAGCATACTCTATGGATCGACAGTGGCCATGGTTGACAAGCAACGAGAAAGCCAAAGCAATGGCGTATACAGTTTCTACTTGGATCGAAAACGGGTGGTGTGACGGTATCGATTTAGATCTTGAAAGTGGGCCCCAAGCAAATGATGCAACCGCTGTTGCGGCAATGATCGCCTTTGTGGCTCAGTTGAAGAAGCTTGTCCCCAGTATCATCGTCACTCAACCTGTAATGGGTACTGCTGGGGCTGTTGCTGTAAACGATAGAATCGTGGAGGCGGCGTTTACAGCTACATCTCCTTTACTCGGTATTATTGATGCCGTTGGTGTGATGGTGTACGAAACTACGAATAGTCTTGACTACACGGATAATTACGAAAAGGGATGCGATAGTAGCAAATGCTCCCAGTGGTGGTGCCCTTTAAATGCTTGCGTACCTCGCGACAATATTATAGCAGGACTCAAAGGCACCTCAACTGTTTCGGATTTAATAGTCATGACAAATGAGACAGTATATAATGTCGATGGCTACCGGGGTGTAATGGTTTGGTACGCTTCTGTGATAGATCAATCGACACAAGAGACTGCTTTGCAGTATGATGTATCTTGGGACGCCTCGGCCGCGAATACAGACACAAAATCAGCCTGGAAAGATCTGTTAGAGAGTGCGGGGGTTCCTGCTAGCGTAGATTGCACATCTCCAGATATTGAACGCGCGCGTGCACGACGCCAAACACCTCTATCGAGTCCAGTGTCTGCAGCGCCTTCCGCAAGTTTATCGAGTTACAACCAGTCGGTAGTGGCACCAAACGTTGAAGATCAGAATCTAAACCCTGAATCGCAGGTTCTGAACAGCTATCAGGGCGTTTATATCAAAACATGGGAAGGTGGCTGGACAGCCGAGGGAATCCGAGCTCAATACGGGCATCTTTACGGTGTAGCTGATATTGCTTTTCTTACGTTTTTCAAACCGATACCTGGTGGGCTGGAGTGCGATGAGGCAATGAGTATGTGCGCTTCCGTCTGGGATTCGACGGTCGGTCTGTACGGTGAAGAGGTGTCGGCCACTGAAGTCTACAGAAATGCAAGCATTGCCGCGAAAAACACGACAGGCATGCGCACTTTGTTAGCCATTGGAGGTTGGTCCTTCCGTGATGACTTTGCTTTCTTAGCTACTCTCACTGCTGCTCAGATTCGGCAGTGGGCATTGAATGTCAAGCAAACGGTAGATTTGTTTGGTGCAGATGGGGTCGATATTGATTACGAGGCCGAAAGCAGCCAACAGTGGGAAGATGAAATAGTGAAAACAAATATGTTGGGCTTATTACGTGAAGTCATGCCCACGTCGGAAGGGTATGTAATTATGCTCACTATCGCTGGCCTTGCGGGTGTACAAGGCCCGGCACAGGCCGTGAGTGATTTTTTCAGTCCATCACTCACTCTGACCTACGAAACTGGAAAGGCAGTATCGACTATTGTGCAAAATCACAAGGATCTTGATATGTTGCAGCTCATGACATACGACGGAGAGCCGAATTTAAATCCAATGTATTGTATGGAGCTCACTCGACAAACAACCCAGCGCCTGTTAGGTGAGGGGATTTCACACAAAATCGCTATGGGTGTTGAGCTAGGTCCGCAAGTAGGAAACTGCGAATCTATAACAGAAGGGTGGTGCACTCACGATATGGCCAGTGTTCTGCAGATGGCGGATTTTGTTAGTCGAAATAAGTACGGTGGTATATTTTACTGGTCGAATGTACCAGTAACAGAGGCGGATGAGTATTACAACGCAACCATGCCCTTCTTTGAAGTATGATACAAATTTAGTTAAAAAACAAGTTAAAATAAAATACTAAGACTCACTATAGCGATATAATTTCTTAAAGTGTGAAACTATGTTGGACTAATATGTTTATCTTCTAAGTTGCGCATAAAGACATGGTCGTCATCGGATAGTGCACTAACCTCAGTGAAGTTCACACATCCTTGTCAAGCTTGCGAGGGCCACACATACTGGTGCACTGAGACAAGTGAACACTAGGCGCAGTTTCAACGCTTTGGTTGTAGTCGCTACAGATTTGTACATAGGCTTAACTGTATGACACAAACACGCGGGATACGGTAACCTTCGTGGCGGATCAAGGACTCGTTCCAATTATCTGCCACTGAAACCCTCATTACCCATACGTGGCTTGAAATATTTTCATCGGCAGGTTTAGTATAGCAGGTAAAAATCCCATCGTTCGCAAGAAATTAGTAGTAGAATCCCTCGGTGCTTTAATACAATATAGTCCCAGTTGCATGCCCTGCTCAATTTCAGGACAAAATTCGCCGTACGTGCATGATTGTTTAAAGACTCAGGAAGACGTGAGCGAGAAATACTATTGGAAATTCAGGATCTAGTTCGAGGGTGTACTTTCGTTTATACACCGGATCACGCCGCTGCAGACTAACTTTTCAACTCGTTGTAGGAGCTACTAGAAAGAGAATTTGAAATGAGTTGAGATGATCCTAAAGTGCCCATTACGTATGTCCACGAGACAAATCTGGCTAACATCAGAATTAAAAGAGAGAGCGAATGGATGGTGACTTTATTGCTGTGCTAAGACGCTGAACAGAAATGTGGTATGTGAGAAACGTTGTGACATATTTTGATAAGGTTTCAGCAAGTAGTATTAAGTACTCATTCATATAAATCTCGAGTTTACCATTGTTTGCCTCTTGTATTTAGAGGAATGTGTAGAACCCAAGTATGGGGCTGTCACATATGGTTCTGTGCACGGATCATTCATGCCATTTTATCTTCACAAAATTGGTTTAAATGGATATATTCGTTAGTATTGTGAAAATAATATATTGCTTATGGGGCCGGAGTTCGCTATGTGTGGGAGTTATAACGTGCTTTAAGATCAGGCCTGCACTCTTCATAAACATAATCTGTCTCTCAGGTATCGATAATAAAATCGGCAACAATAGTTAATCCTAATTAGCAAT